CGAAAATGTAAAAAAAAAGAGCATAGCATGATGAAAAAGACGCCGAACTTGACGAAAACAAAATTTTATCGTCTAATGTTCATATTATTATTAAAGAGGAAAGATCAAAGTATTTTTGAGGTATTTTTTTACATTTTTTAATCGTTCCTAGCAGGTCTGAAATTTTCGTTAAAAATATTGTTTTTTTTTTTGGTCAAAAAAAAAGACAGATAATCATTTGCAATCATTTTTTTCGATTTGATAAAAAAGATTAAAATCTTACTTTGATATTCTTTTAAAAATCAATTATCATTTTTTCAAAACTGATTTTAATAAAAACAGATATTATACTGTTTATTTAAAATATTTTGAACCAAGCTTAACTTAGCTTCTGCGCCGAAAAAATGTAATTTGAAAATAAAACAAAGCAGGTCATAACCTTTCGCGTTGCTTGACGATTGACGATTGACGAAAGGCACATTCATGACGTTTAGATAACTTACGGGAGGGTAATTCTTTCTACGGATGGAAGGAAGTGAAATTATTTAAGTGAACAAATTATTTACCTCGTTACTTTTAAGGAAAACTTTCAGCGCTCTAATTTTTTTTTTTTATTTTGTACTTAGCTTTCATTTTTACATTTACAATGCTTTATGGAAAATATAAAGAAATTAAAAAATAAGACTGTTAATAGTGAGATTAAATTTCATAAGAAAAAGGTATCTAATTAATTTAGGTACCTTTTCTTATGAAATTTTATCAGAAGTACATAAAATACTATAATTTTATGTACATTTATTACATTTTACTGTGTTATTTGTATTTCCATTCATTTTATTATTAATTTTGATATTTCATTTATGGAAAAATGTCATAACTGAGATTAATATAAAATAAGATCATATAAATTAAAGTTTAGCAGTAGTTAAATTTCATAAGATGAAGATGATACTGTTACTTCTCCATAAAAAGTAAAGGGCTTAACAGCGGAGAACAATGCTGAACTCAAATAATGCAACTAAATTGTATTCTGGTTGGTCTTCCATACTTGATAATTATTGTCCGACTATAAACACAAAAATTACATTTCTTAATTACCATGGCTAATCTGATTGGTCCAAATTATACAATTTTCAAAGCACTAGACAATGACAATCTCACACGGACATTTTGAAAGGTTGATGTTGCATTTAACTAATGTTAAAATATTTTTTTAAATTCAATTTAAACATTTTTTTAAATCTTTTTTAAAATTAAAGAAATAAGAAATAATTGTATTAAAAATTCAATGTTCATTGAAAAAATTTTTTGCTTCCAGAAAATATTGTCCATATTCATAAAAACAAATTAAAACAAATAAAAGCATTTGAAACTAAATAATATATTTGTTTTATTGAGTTTTGTATGTTACAATTCACAGCTGATTTTCAGGTACGTTGGCAAAAAAAAAAAAAAAAAACATCACTAAAACCGATGGTCTCGATGGAATTTCTAGAGTTTTTCATAAAATTAGTTATGGGGTGTTAATAAATATAAAAAAAATATTTCTGCCATGACTTTAATAAAAAAACAACATATTTATAATAATTTCGATCATCTGTGAATAGTTTCTGAAAGTTTCATTAACATCTGACAATTATTTTTATTTTTGTAAGATTTTCCAAATTAATGTGTGTAAATACAAAATAACGCGCTAAAAATTATCTATGTTATTTACTACCCCTTGTTGCGACAAAGAGAAACAAGGTTTTTAAATCAAAATTTAGAATATTCTAAAAGATGGAAAAATTTAAAAAATAATTAAAAAAATTTAGTCTATCCTCTTCATAAAAACATAAGCATTTTGACGATAAAATTTTGTTTTCATAAACTTTAGCGTCTTTTTCATCAGACTATGCTCTATGTTTTAGCAATTCCGTGGAGTGACTTAGGTTAAAAACCCAGGTTGTGTGTGTGTGTGTGTGTGTGTGTGTGTGTGTTCCTTTATATATGGGATCGGATTTCTTACATTTTTCAGCCAATAAAACTAACATCCTTTTTTTTTTTTTTTTTTTGGCAGGTAGTATTTCTTATTGTCTTGCACACTTTTTTTTTCTTTATTTACATTCAGAATGCTTTAAAATTCCATTTACAAGACAATTGTTTATAATAAAATTCTATTCACCAATTGATAGACTCATAATGATTGTAAACAATGTTTTTGTTTGAGTTTGGGTTTGACCAATTCGTAAAAAAAAATAAAAAACTAATTAAGACATGCGTGTCCGTCAACCTTAAACAATAATCTTTGTCAATTTTATTTTTCAGTCTTTATGATGGTCGATACTTGATCTATCTCTTACTGTTACATCCCCGGGCAACGCCGGGCTCTACTGCTAGTCATTAATATATCAGCAGTTGACCTAAAGAAGTAAAAGCCATATTGCTTATCTGAAAGATGACCCTGTGAAGTGAGATGCTTAACCAATTCAGAGTTAATTAGAGTCTCTAGTACTTTGACAATTAGGCTAATAGGCTAATAGAAAGATCAGATAGTTCACAGCATTTCTTAAAAACAAATTACAGAAGAGGATTTTCAACAAGCAGAAAAGCAAGAAGCATCAAGTCATTTATTGTAGAGTGTTCTGAGCACATTTCTTAAGGATTATTGCAAGAATACCATCAAGTCCACATGCTTTGTGAGGATACAATTTAGCTAAAAAAATAATAATATATTTCTGATGTAGTATAAAAAATAAATTTATTAATTCTACTAACTTTCATAAAAGTGTATAAAATAAAAAATGATATACTTAAACTATTGGTTATATATATAGTTAAAGATAATTCACTTTTAAACATCAACAATAACAATGTCTCTGCATTTAAAAACTTTTTGCATGCTTTTTAAAAGTCAAGGGTGATAACAGACAACCAAGACAGCTCACAGGCCACCATGTGTAAAAAATATTATTTTCACTATTCTATGCAAAAAGTAAGATTACTTTTACAAAATCCAGTTAATTAATCCTTACATTTACTTTGAAATAAATCTTGACTAATATTGGATTTTTAAATTTTCATGTATAATGAAGGTTCAATGTGTGACTGTACCAATGTTTTAAAAATGTCTAAAACCTTCATTTAAATACATAAAATTATTTTTCTTTTTTACAGTTTAGCTTTAGCCTATTATCTTCCAAATAAAACCAACATTTAACTTCAAAGAAAATGTTTCAATTATTTAAAATACCTTTCTAATTTTTTTCCAGTAAATCTATCCTAATAGTTTTTTTACAGTGAAATTAATGCCTACTGGCCTAGAGAGTGAAACTCTTCTATCCTATTGATAGCCACATTTTCTTTAATAAGACATTTCATCTATAGGCTAGTTGATATTAATTTAAGTGTTTATATAGAAATTATTTTGATTATTATGTGACTGGTTTGAAATTTTTATAGTAAATGATGAATGATGTTTATTTTTAGCATTGGTTTTGATGTCAATAGTTTTTGTTTTTTATTGATATTCCATCTTTTTTGTAGTTATAGTGTATTTGATTTCATTAAAATATGCTGATGCTAATCATAGTACTAAAGCTAAGATTAATAATACACTAATCTTACTTTTAGTACTATGATTTATAGTACTAAAACTAGTTGGTATCTGCAAGATGATCAAATTTCGAATCAAAATTGTTTATCCATTTAAAAATTTATATTCATTAGAAAATATGTCCAGTTTAAATACTGGAAGAGTTATAAATGACTTCAAAGGGCTGGTTTATAACTCTTTTCCTATTAGTTGTTGGCAGATCTTTGTGTCATGTCTCTTCAGGACGTTGGTGATCAGGATTTCCACAATGTCATGTCCTTTGTAGCTCTTAATAAATTTTGTCTTTTTGCCATCTCTTCAAAACTCTGCTCTAACATCCATTTAAGTCAAGCTCACCAGGTAGGTTGTGCATTGCTTTCCTCTGTCACTCTTGCATTTAATCTGTCCTGTGAGTATCAAATTTTCTAAGCCCTCTTTCCTCATTATGTGCCCCAAAAATTTCAACTGTCTCTTTCTGATGTTAAATATAAGGTTCCTTTTTGTTGCTGTTGCCTCTAGAACTTCGTTGTTGCTCACATGTTCAATCCATGGTATTCACAGTATCCTTCTGTAGAACCACATTTTTGTTGCTTCAAGTCACTTCTTTATCTGTGAGGAGATTGTCAAATATTCTCTGCCATATAAGAGGAGTGATACTACATGTTGACAAAAAAAAGAGAAATTAGACCTTCAGACATAGATGTCCATTTCAATTTCATTCAAATTTGTTTTTGAATATTCCTACAAATATTTTTAAAAAAATGCTCTAAAAATAATTCTATTTGTTACCAAATTAATTACCAAAAAAAGTTCAATAAAAAATCTATTTCCCTCTCTCTCTCTCTCTCTGGCTCCCTCACTCCCCCTCTCTTCATAGACTTTAGATATAATTTTCGGAGTTACTTCCCTTAGACTTTGAATCAACCGCAAATCAGAATATATGCCAATTAGTCGAAACTGTAAAAAGGAAGATCATTGTTTAATTTTAATATTTTACCGTTTTCCATTGAAATTATAATATTTAAAAACACTGCTTTCCGTTCTTAATTGTTATTTAGAGATTGAAAATCGGTGTAGCGGTCTCATTTATCACAAAAAATATAAACAACAGCACAAAAAGATTTGTCAACGGCAACCCTTTTTAAAAAAATAATGAATCTCAACACTACACTAGTGTTGTAAACTTCGAATGTTTTTACTGAAACTGTTTTTTCAATTAATGCCCATCATATTCGGAAGAGAGATGAAACCACATCCTTGCCAAATATATTGCCAAAAAAATAATATCCTCACTGGTATATCACAATATTCGACAAAAAAACTAGACATAATTTTAATAAATTTTCAGACTTATCTACGGTACGGTACTAGACTGCAGGATGATTCAAGCCCCCTCTCATGTTAGGAACTGAAAATTAACAGCAGACTATTGTTTTGGTTTCAATCCGTTGAAACACCGGTTCTCGTACGTTCACCTAAGTTAAGCAACGTCTAGCCTGGTCAGTACTTAGATGAGTGACCGCTTTGAAATACTACGTGCTGACGCTTGCGTGTGGTGTCGTGGATAACACCTTAGATTTCGAAATCAGAGAGCCGCGTTTCAATTCCAGTTGGGTTTGTAATGACTTATGATGATATTTAAATTTCATTATTCTAGAAATAAAGATCATTATGAATCATAGAAAGATTGTTTTTAGAATGATGAAATTTCATATCTTTATTTCTAGGATGATGATTGAAATTAATTATCATCATCATCATGAATCATAACAGGTTCCTTACACACAAATACCCCTAGGAAAGGTATGAATCGACCTCTTCTCACCCTAGCTATGGATTAGGGCTTGAATTAAAATCATTATTATCTCGACAAAAAAAAATTCTTACAATAAAAGTATTTTCTAGTTTTAAATAACATGCAAAAGATTGATAAGCTGTATTAAAAAAAAAAATCAATCACTCAATGTTAGCCTCAATGAAGAGTAAGACAATAATGCTATTAGCTGAGCATTATTATTCTCATTATTAATTTTCAAAATAAATAAGAAAATTTAATTTTCCATTTTTTTTTTCTGAACATTAAAACTTTTTAAGCCTTATGCAGAAAGAGAAAAATTGCCCCATTCCAGACAGTAAGTACAAACGAACAAAAAACATAAAATCAAAAGAAAAAATGTTTACAATTTGAATATTAATAAATGAAAAAAAATTCCTTTTTAGTCAGAATCAAAATGTGTATAATCAGGAATTGGTATTCGTGTGATTTTTAAATTAATTTTCAAACTTTTTCACGAATCTGAATACTAATACAAATGTGTAAATTAAATATCCCAAAAGATCTAATTAGCAGTTCGAAAAAAACAAAACAATTAATAAACATTTTAAATACCACATAACTTTATTTTCACCAATACGTAAAAAGGTGGTGATAACCCACAAAGAACGCATTTTCAAAAGTGGCGATAGATAAGCCACAAGTACCCAGGAAAACGTTTAACTTATCTACTGACTTAGCAGCCCCACGACTAAATTAAAAAAATCTAATTTTAAATTTAGTTTTATCTTGACCAGACATTTTATTTTGTGACGCCGTACCTGAATTGTTTTCATTTTCTTGTTAGAACAGCAATAAACCTTGATAACGATAAATCTCAAATTTCACTATTATACAAAGATTTATATTTTATTTGGACTATTGTAACCTCATCGTGGCTGTCAACTAGTACATAAGTCAAACGGTACCCGAAAAATTAGGTAACGGAAAATTCTGTAATTTTGACAAGGTAGGAAAATTCGTGGCTATTCAATAAAAAAATCGATTGAAAATTGATTAGGGCTGTTCTGGAGTGAGGATCTGGGGGCTACTTTTCTGCTTCTTTAAGAAAAAAAAAAAAGTAAAAGTTAAAAGTAAAACTTAATTTTTAGAACTTTTTTATTTAAAATAATAATTTGAAGAGATACAAGAACATTTACTTAACTATAATTTGCTTGAAGATAATAAATACTTATTTAAAAAATATTTATTTAAATTTAAAAATATTGAAGGTGGGTAGACCGCCTAACAATCGAGAAAGTACAGCACTGGTATTGTCGCAGTGGGTTTTTTTCTGGACTGGAACACATGATTTTTTTTAATACTTATTTAAAGTTTAAATTTTAAACGTATGGAGGGGCGCTAGCCCTCTCCAGAAATTACGGCCCTGCCATTATTGTAGTGGGATTTTATCTAAACCCCCATTACTTAATAATACTTTAAAAAAAAATATTGGGAAAGGAGGCCTACTGCCCAAAGCCCTTCTTCTGCAAGTACGGCCTTGGTATTGTTGTAGCTGGGTTTTATTTGGACCCCACAATTTCCAGTTATTTAAAAATATAAGGGAGGGGCTTAGCCCCCAAATCCCAACACCAGAATTGCCCTAAAATCAATTTTCAATCGACTTTTATTTCATAGTTACCGAATTTTCCTACCCTGTCAAAATTACCGAATTTTCCGTTTTTGAATTTTCTTAAATTCAGGTCAAACAGTAGCGGTCTACTGCCAAAAACTAAAACATCACTTTTAAAAATCTTATCTCAAATTTATTTAAATATGATGAATTTTAATTACCCAAATACAGAAACTGGTTTACTTTATTTTTAAAAATAATTATTTCTACTAAACTTATATAGCCAATAAGTTAGAGAGGAATCTGTTGAGCTTTAAGGAATATAAATATTTTATTTAAATGATTTTAAAAAATATTGTGGTACTTCTTTTTTTTTTACCTTTTTTCAACTATTTGATGTTATAAAAATGTTTAACTGCGCCAAATCAAGTCTTTTTTTCCCCTATTTTAAGAATATTTATCAAACAAAAGAAAATACTATTTAAAGAAAAAACTGGGGAAAATTGAAAAAAAAAAACGCTTTATTGATTTGATCCAGGTATTTGATTTCCATTCATTTGTCATTATTTCTTTCAATGCCATAAAAAACTAAATACCTCCAAAAACATCATAACCGTCTGTTAGGTAAGAATATAATTTTCTTCGTTCTATTTTATTAATGCTTTAGGTGTATAAATAGAAAAAAAGAAAACGTTTAAAAAAATGAATTATTTCCTAATTTATGTTCCATATAAAATTTTAAAAAAACCTATGAAAAGGAAAAGGCAATTTTTTTAAAAAATAGTTCTCACTCGTAAATGATGGTATAAAAACTTGATATTTTTCGGATTCTTGAAATACATCTTTCTTTATTTACTAAGAAAATACTTTTTTTTTTATTAGCAACCGGAAGAGTTTCAAAATTGAACTGAAAAAGTAAAAAATTTCTGTAGTGTAGATTTTTTCGTGCCAAGAAAATACTGCGCTTTTACTTTTTTATTCAAGTATGATTCTAAAAAAAGATAACGCTTGATTTTATTATGCAAGTTAAGTACCAACTTTCCACAAAAATATTTTTTTAGTTTTATTTTACTGAATTCTTAATTTAATTTAATTTGTTTAAGGTTTCAGGAATGTTAAGCGCTGACATTGCGTAAATTTTTATGCAGGGAGTTTTCTTAAAAAAAAATGAAAACAATACAGAACACCCAATTTTTATAATTTTGATATGTACTGAAAGTAGAAGGGTGTTACTAACCGTTAAATGCTGAAATTCATTTAAAAATCTGATGACCCTGACTTTTTCAAAAATTTTAATCAATAACAGGGGGGTATCGTGTTTTGTTTTTTTTTTTTGTTTTTTTTTTCGAAGTTTTGCTTACATTTTAGGGAAACACGTGCTTTGGTAGTACCTCCAATGTGGTTAGCGTTAGGGACAAGACTTTCGGACCAGCCAGTTGTTCAACATTTGTTAAAATTTTTTTTACCATATCAAAGGAAGTGTTTAAGAAATTCACATTTTGTTAGATATTTTTTTTTTTCAAGCAACAGTTTTTTTCTTTCCAAATTATATTTTTCGTTGATTCAATTTATTTCAAACAAAATTCTTAACGTCCTTATAAAACCAGTTATTCTTAAAGAATTTTAGACTGAACTTTTTATCAAAATCGGAAAACCTGTTCTCATTCTTAGTACTCTAGGGGAGATAACTCCTATTAGTTAATTTTCATTTAATGACTGACTGTTCTTTTTTCAAGCACCCCGTCTGCTAGAGTGGCCAGCTAATCCCCGTTGCAGACACATTTGTGTTTTTTCAGCACTCACAGAGCCCACTTTTAGTATATACTACATTACAACAATGCTTAGCGGACCTTGGTAACAGTTATTGGAAAGAAAAAAACCTTTCTTCTGTAGTGTAAAAACTGATTTCAAGGTTAACTTATTTTTATAAGCCCTTAAAAGTAGCTAGTTAATAATATCGTTGTAGTCATTAAGATTAAGAACCATTTAAATACACTGTAGTCATGATTAAGAACACCTTAAATACACTATATAGCCAAGCACAGCTAAAATTATCTGAAAACTCTAGTGAACAGTACTTTAAACTGTATTTTTAAGGTTTTTTTCTTTGTATATCAAAAAATAAAAATTGTAAAAAATTTGTTCATAGATTACAATTTGATCTAATATACATTGAACATTAGTAGGTATTCCTTTTCATGCCAAAGATTTTAAATAAAAGTTTAATGTAAAATTTTCAATCATGAGTTTTCTTCTTTTTTTTTTTCAAATTAATCTTAGGAGCCTGGTAAACAAATGTCACCACTAAAAGAGAAAATTTAGAAACACTTAACTACAGTGTTCAAAAAGGGAACAAATATTACATACTATAATTTAATAATCTCATATTATACAACTTTGTTAAACCTAATTTTTACATGAAAAATTAAAAACTGGTAAAAATGGGTTCATAGGTTACATTCTGATTTGACATTTCTTATACTGGATACTCGTTTTCCTTATTAATTCAGTATTTCAAGGATCTACTGTATTTTATTATTCTAAGGTATTGCAGATGGCATAATGATTATCCATATGGAAAATGGAATTAGCAGGTTGAGTTCAAACTTTGGCTTGGACAATTTATGTTTACTTTGCACTAATGCCCTCAGGAAAGATATGAATCAATCTCTTCCTCCTCTAACCACATATTTAATAACAGAGTAGACTTGGTTGGCAAACAGTCTACTAAATGAACACCAATGAATTCAAAGCTACAGTTAAAATAATAGGAAACCCCTTCAATGTCCAGTTTTTTAAATCATTTCACCCCAAGCAAGATGATAAAAACCATTAAGATGCAAGAGGTTTCTGAGAGTGAAAGAAACAGAGAAAGTCAATAAAAGAATGGGATTTAAGGAGACAGATGATGATGATTGATGTTGCATTTAAATTTTTGAAGTTCACAGTTAACAGGAAAGCAAGAAGCCAAAAGAGATTTCAACAAGGAAGTGTAAGAGTAGGAACTATTAGCATATAGCAATTTCAACTGTGAAATAGTGAGACCTAGCTGCTGTGCTTAATCTCATGAAATTATGGTACCAAAGATGAAAGCTCATCTGAACAATCACCATGAAAGTATTTATACAAAAGGCACAGGGAAGCTACATTACGGGAG